CCCGGTGTTTTTGGCGTTGTATGCATGCAAGGAGTCATTCTTGCTTCATTTTTCATGCACGTTCAGCTTTTATGCGTCACATGTTTGATCGTACGCACGCCTTAAAATTATCTAAAGTTACCCCTTCTTTTTGGGGAACGATCCATGTCTCTCCTTAATGATCGCTCTTGGCTCTTGTCCTTTTTTGGACTTCGATATTTCTCTTTTCCTTCTCTCTATGAAAGGTGGAGTTCCCAGCTTTTGAAAGGAGAGCCTCTTCGTTATTGATATATTTCTCTACTTTGGCCAACACCTCTATTATATTGGCTCGTGGATTTTTGGAAATTGAAAACATTAGATCTTTTGATTGTATTCCCAACCCAGCAATAAAAGCTATGGGGGCAAACTTCTCATCAAGAACTTCCACTTTTAGGGACTCCGAGTTAAACCTTTGGACATAATTTTGTAGTGATTTTTTTGGGGCTTGATTCACATTTAGTAGATGATAGCTGAGCTTTTGGTAGGTTTGAACTCCTATGAAGTGAGATATGAACAAAATAGAGAGCTCTCTAAAAGAGGAGATCAATGCTGAGGCTAACCTGTTGAACCAAGCCAAGGTCGAGCCCTTCAGAGTGATAACAAAATCTCGGCAACGCACTAGATTCTGGTATCCATGCCGTCTGGGTTTTGTAGGTGTTTAGGTGGTCCATGGGATTCTTTGTCCCATCAAAGGTCTCTATTTGGGGAATTCTAAATTTTTGGGAAAAAAGGAAGTGTAGCACCTCGTGGTTGAATAGAGACTCTGTTTGCTGAACTAGAGCATCCATTGTCATTGGGGTTTTACTCTTTACTACTTCCTTCATGTAACTGAGCTCTTGTTTTATCTCTTTGAAACATTGCTCTTAGAATTGTTCTTCTCCATCTTACTGGAGAGGGCCTGGGGAGAATTCTTGTCTAAGAACTCCTCTTCTTCTTCATTCCTCTAAGCTCGGTGGCAGATGTTGTCAACCGAATGACTGTGCTCATTTTCTTCTGTAATCTCCCTTAAGGCATTTTGATGATGACATTCGCTCCATGGGGGATCATCCTAAGTTGGTTGTGCCCTTTGATGATACTAGGTACGAATGAGATTTAGTAAATCCTCATTTTGTTGGAGGAGGCGATTGTTGGCTTGACAAAAGCCTCGAGTTTGTTGTTTGCAGGAGGATCCGCCATCGGTGGATTGACTTCTGGGTTAGGTAGAGGATTCATAGGAATTCCTTGCTTTCCCTTAGCTAGGATTTCTTGCTAGTTCTACAAACATAAGGGATTCATCTGATTTTTGCTCATGTTACGTGTAGAAACCATCAATTACTGAATGGATCAGTAGAGTTTTAACAAGAAACAAACGTTCCCACAGATTGCGACAACTGATAATGATGTTCTACACAACTGATCAAAGGCATGTTATCTAGAGGTTTGCAAATCACTAGAATGTCTAGTCAGAGCTTCTAGGCTCTTAGTGTTTAGGCAATGCAATTTGAGGAACAATAGTCAGAAGATTCATAGTAGTTCATCAACTGGGAAGCTCAGCTAATTCTCTTTAGTGGAGTCTTTTGCTCCTATGAGGGTTTTCTATTAATCATAGGAGAATATTACACATGATAATTATGCAGATAATTGCTTGAATACATTGTGAGGGATTTGACCCCTATTTATAGTTTTCAGATGTCTTGTGTGATTGTCTTGCGTGATCCTTGTCACATTCTTGTAACTGATGCTCTCTTTACGTAATTAGCGTTGATAGTGTTGAAATGATTGCGAATCATTTTCCAGAATATTGGACCGTTACAAATTATACTTTTTACATGTTACATGGCTTTCTAGAATGTGTCACTTGTCTCTGTTATTGTTAACAAGGGTTTCGTTGATGAAGGCTGCCAACTATGCACCTTGTGCCAATGATCATAAGCTGTGTAGTCCATGCTTAGTCGTCCGAGCTAGATAATATCAAACTAAACCTTAAATAATTTTAGGTATCATCAACTTGAACCATCAATCTGGACTTGGCTTGGAGCATCCATCAAAGCCCCATAGTAATCCCTGTTTCAGGTTGCCTATTGTTGCTCCTTGATTTTTCCTGGAGATAGCATCCTCATTAACTATAAAGCCAATCTGGCTGAAGTTTTTCCTAATTAAGCACCTCATTACTATCAAGTTACCTCAAGATAGTGAGTGTTAATCTACTTGGTTTTTTTTGGCCTCAACCAATTAGCTTAGTAATTGCTTTGTTCTTTAAATCACCTATGGAGGATTGATGAAATTCAGGTACATAACAAACATTTTTCCGATAAGAAAATTCCACTCATTATCATCTTCACTCATAATTCAGCACTAGTGCTTAATTTTTTAATTTTAGGAAAAAACACCTAAGTCACATTGGATGTACCATGTAACAATGTGCTTTTCTCTTTCTAGGGGGAGAGTTTTTTTTCTCTCTCCAAGGTATCCCTCGTGAGCACCAGGCTTAAGCCCTATCTGGCTCCAACATTTGCCTAGCCGTTTATCTATAGCAGAGATTGCCATTTCTGTGTGTCCCTAAGAAAAACCAATCTCCTGTTATCCATACCACTATCCTCCCACTGAATCTCATAATATGTCACATATACCGAATCTCTAAAATCCAGAACCAGAAAACCCACCAAGTTGTCCTTCTTTGTCAAATAGGAATCCTTTCCAAAAAATTCAAACTCTTTAAAAAGAGAGAATAAGATGGGTCATTATATTCATAATGGGTACTGATGGTACCACAAAATACCCAAGGTTAAGCTCGATAACCCAGGTCATGCTACTCAGGTTGGAAGCTCAACTCATCTATATTATTTACAAACGACTCTCAACTTCTGGTGTCCACATCTCAAGGAAGACTATGCAAAGGACAACTAGATCCCATCGAGTCCCCTTTTTTGTAGCATCAATTACTTAGCAGGCGCAAGTCTCGTTGTGCAGTAAGGGCGACCGTTACAAGGGAGGAGCGAGGATCTCACCTCAGATCAAGCAAGACTCAGGAATAACTATAAATAGGAGGCAAAACCCTCAAAAGTAAAGATAAGTCATTGTAGCCTCACAAAAACACTCTCTGTAAACTTCACACAGTAATCAATACATTTAGGAGCAAGAGACTCCCTTGAAAGTGGATTAGTAGAGCACCCGAGCTAGTGAACCACTATAAAAACTCTGTGTAATAACCCACTTATCCCCAAATCGTATTTCCTAGAGTTTTGGAGCTCAGATTGAACTATATCTAACTGTTTAATACACTTTATATTCACATCACTGCTCAATCGTATTAGAACATCATTAGGTACCAATAATAGATAAGGCCAGTTGTGAATTTAGTAACAACAATGTACTAGATCTATGAATTATTTCAACAAATTAAATCCTTACATTATTGAATACAATCCTTTTTTTTTTAAAAGTTGTTTTTATTCTCGAAATTCATAGTGCAAGGTCAGCTGTATCCCAAGAGAGCTTTAAGTGACCTACTACCGTTCATGGTCCACAAAAGCATATTCCTTGCCTTAGGGAAAAAAAAAGAAAGGGGTGTGTGTGGGGTTCTCTTTAAATTACAAATGAGGTTTGGAGAAAAGCTGGCTTCAATTGTTCTGTAATTTTGTCATGTTCTCTTTTTAAAGAGTAATGTTGTTTGAATCTAAAAATTTTATCTCATTTGTCGATTAATTATGTGTCTTATTAAACATTAGAACTTGTTCTTCATTTAATAGTTCCAATAAAATCACATCATCAAATTAACAAATGAGGTCAAATTTTTAGATGTAAATAACATTACTTCATTTTAAAACAAGCAATGCTATTGAGACCTAATTTACTGACATAATTTGTTGACTTAATGCATTGTGATCTTTAGATTCACTATAAATCTCATCAAACATTAAAATTTAATGTTGATCTAATAATTCTTATTAAACCACATAATTATATCAACAAATTAAGTCTGATTTTTAAGTTATAATATTATTGCTTATTTAAAACCTAAAAATTGGAAAGCATCTAACTAATCATGACAGGACGGTTGTTGCGTTACCAATGTGACTTGCTTTGATTTAAAAAGTCATCATCTAACTCTTGTAAAAGCAGATGTAACCAACTGGGGTAGCTCAATTGGCCAGAGTCTTTGGCTTCCCAATGGGCGGTCAGGGTTTCGAAGTATCCTGGGTGCAATAGCATAGTTGTTTGGTAAGACAAGACTTGAGTTGTTTAGATAAACTGTATCCAAGTATATGGTGTGGGTCTTGAGTCCCTGACAAAACGCAAGTCCTGATTTAAATGGTGTATGAGTTGAGGGACCGGTTCATACTTTGGACTTTGCCCTTAGTTTTACTTAGAGTTACAAGTCTGAGTGACATAAGCATGCCTCTACTCGCTGAAGACAGACCATGAAATTTTCCCGTTTCCAAGACAAAAAAAACAGAAGTACGTTCCTTTTTACAATTCTTGTGAGAACCCCGGAAGGAAGGAAGATGTTTGTGTAGTTTCACCAGCCCAACAATCTTTTTCCTTTGTTATCTAGTATATGTCAAAGCATTTGAGATAGATGAATCCTATTTGGATTTAAAAATTTAATCTAATTTGTTAATATAATGATGTGGTTTTAATAGAACCATTAGATCAACATCAGGTTCCAATATTTGATGAAACCCACGATCAATTGAAAAATTATAGTAAATTAAGTAAACAAATTAAATTAATAAATTAGATCTCAATAACATTATTTTTTTAGATATAGAAGAAATGGGTGTCCCCTAAGTTAGAGTGGCTGCACAAATGGACTTTATGAGGCTGTCAATCTAAACTTGGGACCCACATTTTAAATGTGGGTACTGTACACTTATCCCAAACTAATTTTTTTTTCCTTACAGAAAATAAATCAAAAAGGGTCCATGTTGGAATGAAATTACGCTCGCTGTCCTCTTTTTCACAAAAATGGAGGGATGAATTAATGTATTTATAAAATCCGTCTGAATTGACGGGGCTAGAACCCGTAACTTTTGTCTTGACAGAACAATGTTCTAATCGATTGAACTATAATTCTAAGAAATTACAATTGTCATAAATACTATAAACTAGTGTTAGAACTTCTTTCTTTGGTTGACAGGCATATGTGGGTCCATATTTGGCAATGCGTCTTTAGTTTCTTTTGTTTTGTATCATTATAAAAAATGCAAAACACTTTTAATTTATTGGTTATATTAAATTATATCCTCATAGTGTCCCCAAATTAGGACCATCATTTTATATGGTGGGCTGTATATGGACCTATGAAACATTTCTCTCGCCGCCTATCCTTGTCATTGGAAAAAGAGTAGGGTTCTAGTTAAAATCCCTCATTGCAGATTCTTTTATCATGTTTCAATGGACGTTCAGTATAGAGAACGGCGGGCCGGTATTTATACCTCTACATTTGTCATTCCATCCGTTTATCCTTCACCTAGTTCATTACTCTCCAATTTTTCTCATTTATAGTTATACTCCACCTCTTCTACGACTATTGAATTTGGAAACCAAAAAAAATAAAAAAATAAAGAGAAAGCCATGGTGAAGTTCCTAGTGAATCCATTCCTTCTATTGATCATCTACATTCTCTTTCTTGCTCCTTCTGTATGTGGTAAACCCACACCCACAGGCCTCATTATTTCTTGTTTAACTCATCATGCTGTCAATAACTTCCCCATATACCCAAATAAAGTCGGTGACTCTACAATTTACTTCAAGCTTCTTAATTACTCCATCCAAAATCTTCGGTTTTCAGAATTATCAGTTCCCAAACCAAAGGCCATCATTTTGCCAGAGAATAAAGAGCAGCTGCTGAAGAGTTTTTTATGCTGTAGGAAAGCAGCATTTGAAATCAGAGTGAGGAGTGGTGGACACAGCTATGAGGGTGCTTCATCAGTTGCCACGGATGGAGCTCCATTTGCAATAACTGACATGATGAATCTGATGGGACATTTCCGAGATACTCCAAGATGAAGACACGTATCATCGGTGTTACTAAATCCTTGTTACTGAGATCACACGTACCCATCGGTTCACAAGTCCCTCTCCCCCGAGGTACTTGTCATAGGGATCAAGTGGCATCCAGTACGTTTACGTACCGACACGTATCCCTCGGTCTGATATGGGTACATCGGGTTGCTATATATACCTCCCTCTCGGCTCCGAGATGTACCTCCCCCCTCGGTTCTGAAATGTACCCATCCAATATGGCACTCTCTGCTTCCGCAGAAGCTATTGATGTACGAATTACTAGCCTAGGCTAGACTAGGTTAGCTATCATGACCTCGTCTTACACAATTGGTGTCAGAAGGCACAAAAAGGTAGAAGACGCAGCCAATGGGGAAAGGGCACGTGGTGCATTGTGTCACATCAGAGACAAAAGTACAGGATGTCCTTGTTGACACACAACTTGGGAAAACAAGCATTTAATTAGGTCATTCCCTTGATGAGACAGCATTTAATGCAGTAAGGCTCGGAAGAAAAAGGTAATAAATGTCCCTGATACTGGGCACTTATTGCACTCTTGCCGAGAGGAGCTCATTAAACATTCGGCAGACTGATGACGCTGCATTGATCGCTCGGGGTCCCGAGCAGTTAAGAGAGAAGACATTCCTCATAGGAATCCGTGCACATGTTGTCTGTACCTAATGATCACCTACTGACCACACTGACAGCAACCATGAGTTTTTGAAGTATAAATACTCCTCGCAAAGGCAAGATGGTATGCAACAAAAAAACCTTTTCTAAAACCTATACTCAAGTGTTTTCTTCTTCCCCACTCTCAAAAATGGACTTGATCGTCGGAGGGGATACGCCGGAAAACATTTCGGTGCCCTTCTAATATGTTTTTCTCTTTTCCAGGCACCTCCCTCAACCTTATTGGACCGCTCCTTTGATCCATGAAAGCCACCCATTACCTTTTCAAGTAACCAACGGATCTCAGCCTGTTCCAAACAGCAAGGCTGACCATTCGATTGACTGACTCCAGTTTACCACAGGAGAGATCTATTCTCGTGTTTATATTGTGCAAGATCTCGCACACACAATCTAGCGCCGTCTCTGGGAAACGACTAGTTTTCCTAGTTTCTTCTTTATAAAGAACAGTGACCATGGTGAATACTCGAAAAAAAAAGGAAAGGTCCCCAGCAAAGGAGTCTTGAGTTACGAGCTCCATGTCATGATGGATGAAGGGATCACGTTGATGGGAATAGAAATGTCTCTATTCAGTCAAGAGGGCCTACTCCTCAAACCAGTATGGGCATCAGGTCAGGAGGAACCGCCCCCTTGGCTCGCCAACTAGCAGAGGTGATCGAAGAAAAGTTTGGGGATCGATTATGACAGTTGAAAAAAGACAATGTAAACATCCTAAGCTGGCACAATGAATTCGCCACTTTCGGCCAAGGGTCGAGGGACTCATTTCTTTCTCGTGGATTCCCCCGCCCGAGAGGCATAAATGAAGGACCTAAGGAACCATTTAAATAACAAGGCAAAAAGCTCTAGGGCCCCAAAGCGACCTAGAGCCAACGAGCACCCTCTTAACGACCATTCCAAGAAGGCAAGACCTTTAGCCCTGGACGACCTCCGACGAGGACTGTCAAGACGGAGGAAGGAAGATGAGTCCGAGGAGGATTCAACCCTATCCACACGACGCCCAGGAAATGGGGGACCTATTGATGAACTCGGAGAATTCAGAAGACACCCCGTTGGGGAGGAAATTGATCTCAGGGCTCGATTGGAATCCAGGAGAAAGGACAAGGTTGTCCAGGATGATATCGAAAACGAGGTCATGCAATCACCCTTTACCAGGGGTATCACAGAGATGAATGTTCCAAAACAATTCGTCGTGCCGAGGTTCAAAATTTATGATGGACGGTCTGATCCCGAAGCCTACCTCAGGCAGTACAAACAAATGATGTCCCTGTATCATTCAGACCAACAGTTCCTCTGCCGAGTGTTTCCCATGAGCATGGGGGACTCCACGATGAAGTGGTTCGAGGCTTTTTCCCCCAACAGCATTAGATCATGGAAGGAGCTGACGAGGCAGTTCCTAGCCCGATTCATTACGGGGAGTAAGCGGCCTAAAGACGTCGGATCATTACTGACGCTCAGACGGAGGGAATCTGAGACCCTCCGCCAGTACGCCATCCGGTACTGGGAGGAAGTTAATGAGGTAGAACGCTATTCAGAAGTCATGGCAGTGGCGTCTTTCAGGCTCGGCTTGGCAAGGGACACGGACCTGTACCGATCCTTGACCAAAAAGACTCCCTCAGACATGGGCGAGTTGATGGCCTGGATAAAAAAACTACTCTAGGATCGAGGATGAGATGGGAAGCAGCAAAGGCAGAACCCTCCAACCTAAGAGAAAATAGAGGGAGCGGGAGGATCCTTCCCGAAAAGGACTGCTACCCCCTCCGGGGGGGTCATTCAAAGGAGTTCACACTATGTTCAAGGAACCCATCTACAAGTTGCTCTACAAGATCAAGCATGAGCCATTCTTCAAGTGGCGGCCCAGGATGCAGAGCGATCCCTCCACCCGTGATCAAAGGGTCAAGTGTTCCTATCACCGGAATTTCGGCCACCACACCAAAAGCTGTAGGGTATACAAATCTTTCTTGGAGAAATTGGTCCGAGACGGATACTTGAAAGAGTACATAGAGCCTGGGCTAGAAGAGAGACGCACACCTGTCCCGACCGAGGAGTTGGATAACGTCATAGATGTGATCCATGTGTGTCCGCTAGATCGCCCCACGTCCAAGGAACTCGAGTTCGATCTCAAGAGGGTAGCTTTTACGAGAAAGATAGCCGAGAATGATGGGGGGCCGCTTAGTAAAAGAGCCAGAATTGGTGAGCCGAGCATCACTTTCTCCGACGCGGCCTTAACGGGTGTGGTGACTCCTCATAACGACGCCCTTGTCATAACCCTGAAGATAGGCAAGTTCGACGTCAAGAGAGTGTTGATAGACTCTGGGAGTTCCTCAGAAGTAATGTACTCTGACACTTTAAAACGGATGGGTCTTGGCCACAAGGACCTCACCAAGGTCAGGACACTCCTTATCGGATTCAACGGCTTGTTCGCCCTGCCCATAGGCAAAATCACATTGCCAGTTGTCACAGGTCCCTTCACCATCAACACCGAGTTTGTCGTGATTGATACGGACTCTCCCTACAATGTGATCATGGGACGAGCATGGCTACATGCGTTGGGAGCGGTACACTCCACTTATCACCAGAAACTGAAATTTGCCACGCCAGAGGGGATCATGGAAATCCGAGGGGACCAAGCCTCGGCAAAAAATTGTTTTTATTCGGCTGTTAGAACAGGGGCTTTCACCCAAGAAAAGAGGCGAGCTCTGGAAGAGATCCTGAAAAAATAGCAATCATAGACCGGGAGTCTAGGAATGGATGACCCCCGGATTGACCCAACAGAGCGGTCGGTGGAGGACCTCCGAAAGGTGCCCTTGGTGGAGGATAAGGAGGAAAGATACTTCTTAGTTGGAACTGTGATGCCCACAGCCGAACAGGAGGAGATGATTGAGTTCCTGAGAGGAAATGCAGACGTGTTCGCTTGGAACACAATGGAAATGACGGGAGTGGATCCCGAAATAATTACACACAAGCTGCATGTTGACCCAGTGCACAAGCCAGTGAAACAGAAGCCACGGCGCATGGCCCCGCACCACGCCCGTGCGATCAACGAAGAGATCGACAAACTCCTGGAGGGCGATGCCATCCGGGAAGTACAGTTCCGGAATGGCTGTCTAATACAGTCTGTGCGAAGAAGAAGGGGGAAAAATGGTGTATCTGCGTGGACTTCACTGATTTAAACAAGGCATGTCCCAAGGACGACTACCCCCTACCAAAGGTGGATCAGCTAGTGGATGCCACTGCCGGATACGAACACATGGACTTCTTGGATGCCCGAGCAGGATATCATCAGATCCCTCTCATCCCCCGGATCAGGAAAAAACCGCGTTTATCACTCCAAAGGGAGTTTACTGTCACAAAGTGATGCCGTTTGGGCTAAAGAACGCTGGGGCA